GAACCGCGACCGGACGCTGAGGCCCCAGTAGGGCCGAGAACGAGTACGCCGCACCTGTGGATGGGGGAGCGGGATCAACGGGCAGCACGGACGGATAATGCGCAGCCACGGGGACATGAGGAGGAGGAACGTTTGCAGGAGGACGAGGGGCTGCCAGGGCAGGAGGTGCTGCTGGAGGAGGTGCCGCGGGGGTCTGAGCAACACGCGGGGAGTTGCTCTGGCTCGTCTGCCCGTTCCGCTCCTCGCGCACAGCAGCAGACACTGCGCGCTGCAGATCAGCCATCGTCACCGGCTGATCAGACCCCCAGCCGCCATCCCGCTGACGCGGCCCCCACCAGCCGCCTCGGTCGTCGCGTTGCGCCGCCCAATTCGCCCGAGAACCGCGGCGCCGCGGAGAATTGTGGCGGCGCCGGGACGTCGCGCGTACGTCCTGACGCGCTGGGGACTGCGGCCGCTGCTGACGACGGCCAGGAGACTGCGGACGCCGAGCGGTCGGCGCAGAGGGATTCGCCACCTGTGGCGCACCAGGAACGGCCACAGACGGCGCAGACAGACCCGCCTCGGGCGGAGCAGGCGGAGCAACACCCGGCTGGGCAACGGGAGCATCAGCAGGCGGCACGAGAGGAGCCCCCGCAGACGGTGCAGAGGGCGCAATCGCGGGAGGCGCAGAGGGAACAGCCATGGCTAGCGCAGGAGCAGATCCCGCCTGCACAGGCAGAGGAGGCGCCAGCGTCGGAGGCGGCGCAGACGGGGGAGCCGGAGAGGCGGGAAGCGCCGGCTGGCCCTGGACGTCAGTGGTGGCGGACCCCTCCGGCTGGTCAGTCACGCCGCCAGCAACAACCGCCCGCGCGGCGGCCGCTGACGGAACAGCAGGGTCGGCAGCTCGAGGAACGACTGACGGAGCAGATACATCAAACGCCGCCGCGAGGGGAACAGGCGGCGCGACAGGAAGAGACGCCAAGGCCTCTTGAAACGACGGTGCGGGGCGAGGAAGGATTTCATCGTCTACTGTCTCGAGCCTCGGAACAGGCAGCGTTGGGGAGCCCGTCGGCATGGTCCCCGTTCCGGAGGCAGGCGGTGGCTTTCCGAACGCAACCGACGCAGCGCCAACGTGCATTGGCGAATAATCGGTCGGCCCGGCAATCACCATCGCGAGGCCGAGGAGGGCGAGGCAGAGGGAGAGTGACGGCTAGCGGCGCAGGGGGTGGACCGGAGAATGGCTTCCAAGCGGCAGGGAGACAGGCTTTAACGAATCTGGAGAGAACTGATGAGGAGGAGGAACGACAGGACCCTTCTTATAGGGAGGAGCCGCTCCCACAAAGTGAAGACGACGAGGAGGAAACAGATGATGCAGGAGAGAGGCTGGGGACTGGGAGGCGAGCTGGTGAGCATGAGGCGGATGAGGAAGGAGGCAGGCAACAGATCAATCGGACGGCCACAATCCCAACTCCTGGACAGAGCAACGCACAAAGGCGCGAGCAGAGACATCAGGCAGCGCGCTCTCGCAGCGCGTCCGCAAACCAAGCACATTTCCCCCGCTACTTCTCGCCAGGGGAATTGGCGAAACGATCAGACCTGTTCGCAGCCATCAATGACTGGGACTTGGCGGCACTTTGCGACAGTCGTCAGCCATCCCTGTCGCGCCGATTACCGCCCAATTTGTGTCAACTATTTTCGCTGGTGTTACTCACCCCGCTCCTACACCTCGCGCGAAACCCTGACTCAGTCGCAGGCTGGCGACTGCTGCTGTTTCTCCCTCGGCTCACACTTCGCCAACCGTCGCCAAGAAGACCGAAGTGGCCCGAAGTCAAAGCCCGTCTCAGAGCTTTCCAGCGTGGCGAATGGGGGCAGCTGTACTCTGACACGATCGAAGCCAACAATACCCCACCGCCTCCACGTCACCAGCCAGACGAGACGGGAGTTCTCAGCAGGGCGGAAGGCCTGGCCAAGCGAGGAAGCCTCCGCCGAGCCGTACTGGCCCTCGAGTCAACCCCAGTCTGCCCACCTGGCCCAGCAGTTTTGGAAGAACTCCGCGCGAAACACCCCCGAGCCGATGACGAGCAGCTGAGCTGGCCAACGGCACCAGGCCCGAACCTGCAAATCAGCCAAGCCGATTTCGCCAAGCTTCTGGGTCGGTGCGAAAATGGTGTGGGGACCGGACCGTCCGGAACCGCCTTCGAACACCTTCGCGACGCATCGGCAACCAACGCATCGGTCTGCACCCACCTACATGCCCTAGTGAACACCATCCTGGCAGGCAAATTACCCGAGCCAGTGGCAGACCTGCTGACGGCGTCGCGCCTAATAGCGCTGTCCAAGCCAGGCGGGGGGGTTCGGCCAATTGCAATTGGCGAATGCCTGACGCGCCTCGCAGGCAAGGCTGCTCTGACCGCAATTGGGGAAGCTGCACGTGACCATTTCCTGCCTCTACAGTACGGGGTGGCGGTACCTGGGGGGGCCGAAGCGAACATCCACGTTGCACGTGCCTTCGTTGACTCGAGGGACCGCTGCGTGGTGTCACAGACAGACATTTCGAATGCTTTTAACAGCATTTCGCGACAAGCAATCATCAACGGGATTTGCGACAGCAACCTTTCGTCACTGCTCCCTCTAGTGCGGCTAACGTACGGTAACCCGTCGAAGCTGTACCTTGATTCGAATTTCGCCAGCCACCCACTGAACAGTGAACGCGGGGTGAGACAAGGAGACCCTCTCGGTCCTCTACTGTTCGCAGCAGGGATCCACCCAGCACTTCGCGAAACTGCAGATGCCCACCCCCACGTTCTCTGTTTGGCGTATGCAGACGACGTGACGTTTTTGGGGGACAACGCAGACACTGTAGCAGCATTCAATTTCTTCACGAGCAAGTTAGCGCAGCTGGGGCTTACACACAATCCGCAGAAATGTGCGGCATGGAGCACGAGAGGCGACGAGGAGATCCAGCTACCGCCAGGAGTCCCGCTATCCCAGGACGGGATACGCCTTCTAGGTAGCTTCCTGGGGCCAGCGGCGGGTGCGGCCAAGTTCCTGGCAGGGCAGCTGGAGGAAATGGCGAAGCCGCTGCCACTGTTAGAACGCGCCGACCCCCAAGTAGCCTCCCTGCTACTGACCCGCTGCATTTCTAGACGCGCCGCATACCTCACTAGGACCACGCCACTGAACCTCCTGCCACGAGACACCTGGGCGCAGTGGGGGCGGGACCTACTAGCTGCGCTCCTGACATCCTGCGGGATTAAAGTCCCGACGTGTAGCACGGAGCAGTCGAGAGTATGGGCGCAGGCTTCGCTCCCATCGTCCCTGGGTGGCTTAGGACTGACGGACCCGCTCGTGGAAGGGGTCTACGGCTTCGTAGCCAGTTTCACACAAGCCGCGCTCTTCTTTTCCTCCCTGACGCTAGCACCAGACACAGCACTGACCCGAGCACACAGCCACATGATTCTGCCCCGGGACGTCACCACACCGCTCCATGCCTGGCTCACAGAGTGCGAGACTGCCCTGCCCACAGATGCACGCGACGTCATTGACCAGGAACGGCTCTCTAGGTCAGACATCAAGCTTCAGCACACGCTGGCCCTCAAAGTGCAGGGGAGTCGGTACGCGGTTCAGGTCCAAGAGACAAGGCGAATGAGACTGAATCCTCTGTCTGGGCACACGCAGAGAATGTTCTCACTGACTGGCTACGGCACAGGAGACTGGCTGACGGCGGTACCAGTAGCTTCTTCTCGGCGCATCGGGCCGGTACACTTCAGCAACGCCGTGCGCTTCCGGCTGGGCCTCCCTTTCTCCACTCCGAAGAACTGTGACTGTACTGACCACACCGCTATCACAGACCCGCGCCTCCCCAACCACCTCTTCCGCTGCGGCACAGGGAAACACCGTACGAATACTCATAATGAGCTCCGCGACGCTTGCATCAGCATGGCACAAGACGCGGGGTTCATCGTACACAGAGAAACAAACGTGTACTGCCCCATAGAGGAGCAGACCGCGGACTTTACCATGACGGACAAGAGCAGTGGGGCGGTTTGGGTGTGTGATGTGACGGTAACGGACCCTATTAGTACCAGGGACCCGGAGGCTAGGAAAGGAAGGGGATGGGCGGCCAGGGAGCAGGCGGATAAAAAGATCAAGCACTATGAAAACCTGCCAGAGACAGTGGGCTTCTTCCCCCTCGCCGTAGAGACCTATGGCTGCCCTTGTGCGGAGGTCCCTGTGTTCCTGAAACTCCTTGCGGACACGGCGGCTCGGCGATACTTCAACGCCGACTCCAAATCCTATCATGCCGCGAAGTTTCTGCACCAGTTCAGGCAGAGGTGGTCGGTTGCACTACAGAGGGCCCAATCCGTGGGTCTCATGATCAAGTTAGGAGAGGCGGCGGCTGCAGAGAACCCGCCTGTAGGAGGGATAGGGCAGGAATTGTACCTTGGGGACTGTTTTACCGTCCTAGAGCCTCTTCTTGAGCTCTAGGTGACTTAGTGGGGTTGGATAGTCTAGGTTACCTTGCGTGTTAGTACCGGCTGTCTCTCACTGCATGTGTGTACCCTTCTGGCTTATCAATATACGGACCATTAGAGAGAGAGAGAGAGAGAGGCACTAGGCCCTTTCCTTAGTCTCTCCAAGCTCTCTATCTTAGCTTAGCCTTAGCATAGCATAGACTTAAGGCTTCCTTAGCCTCCGGTCCCTAGTGTATTCCCTGCAGCTTGCCTACAAGGAGTACATTAACACTTATAGCTTCCCCTACTGCCTCATTCCTGCCATTATTTTCTGGTGAGCTTGGTTCCTCCCAACCCAGCGGCTCGCGCCGGCCGCCTTCGGCGGCCGACGCTCGACAGCGCGGCCTTCGGCCGCGCATTAGGGGTGGCAAGGAAAAAGGGGAAGACGACAGTTACACACGGAGCAGTACAAGCATGCAAGCCTAAGCCCCGCCGACCTAGGCAAAGGTAAGTCGCAGCCAATGGGGATGGAGAAGCACACAAACAAAGCATCAACCAAGGCAACGCCTACATCCGCTTCACCCTCCGCCCAAGCCACCGGAGCAAACACGCGAGTGCGGGCACGATGCCAAGCGGGCACTCCTCAGCAGCCGTGGCTACCATGCGGAAAGCCGCTGCGCCAGGTCCGTCGTCCAACGAAGGGTCCCCGGGCTCAAGTGGCAGATGCAGGACATCCCACAGCGCGCTCTCCACTGCCCGCCGCACACGACTCTGCTGGTCTTCATTCATGTGCGGATCCCGCGCCACCACCTCCCGAGACAGAAGGGCGTCGTGCAGGAGGTCAAGCACGAACGAGAGCTCAGTCACGCAACGGCCAATCGACTGAAGATGCCGCCAACGAGACTCGTAATCCCCCGGTCCATAAGAAGGCGTCCCCCAAGGGGGGCTCGGGGGCGGAGCGCACGAGCCCCAGTTCCCCCCGTCCTGCTCCTGAGGCCACGAGAAGCAACCATCCCAATCAACCCCCGGGTCGCGAGGGGTGCCCGGCACCTCGTCGTCGCTCCAGTAGCCGCGGGCAATCCCAGGCACAGGCTGATGCTGCAGGAACAGGGGAAGGGAAAAAGGACGACAAACAGGGACACGGTGATTCACGGCGGGAAAGTACAGGGCAGGGCAAGACAGCATGCGGCGAGCCAGGGGAACACATCACGGGAGTGGACTCACAAATCCAAACCGAGCTCCAGGAGGACGAGACCCTGGCACGAGGGGATGCTGGCGCCGAGGGCCGCAGTAGGCGGGATCCGGGAAAGGGAGCCCGCGAGGGCCCGGAGGAGCGGAGTCCGTCACATCCAGCCGAGGGGGGTACGAACACGCATACGGCACAGCAGGGGTCGGCACGGACAAGGAAGGCACGGCTGGTTGAGGAGACGGCGGGAGAGGAGGCGGCTCAGAGCCTGGCACTGGGGCTGCAGACGGGAGAGGCGCCTGTTCGACCAACCGAGGAGCAGAACCGCCCAGTGAGGATGAAGAGACAGGGTGAGACGGTGGCGACTGAGGTGGCGCCTCAGGATCTGAATCAGGAAGAGATGGCCGCGACAGAGGAACAGGAGGCGCAGACGGCGCCGGAGCCTGCGCAACCGGTGGAGCCTGCTGCGACGAGGCGGAGTGCACCGGGGGAGGAGGTAGGTGCAACGGGGACGACTGAGAGGCGGGAGCATGGTGCTGAGGCTGTCGGCGAGCCTGGCCTGACAACGGCGGGCGAGGAGGGCGGCGGCGACGAAAGGATTGCCCGCGCGCGCGAAGGAATGGATGGGTGCGCCTCGGGGGGATCGATACACAGGCTCACGCGGCCGAACAGTCGCCAGTGGGGGCGCCGAGGGCGCGATGCCAACGCCCGCAGTTAGGCAGTCCGCGACGGCTCGGAACAGGGCTGGCACCTGCCCGCCCTGGGCCGCTGGTTGGATGGGAACAGCAGGAGGCCCCGCCGCCACGATCACATCGCGCCGGGGGGGCCGACGCCGGCCTGCCATCAGGAACGGAACGCGCCACGGGACAAGCGGCCGACGGAGCTGAAGGGGAGACGACAGAGGTGGAGGGCGGGACGGCAGCCGTAGAGGAGGAGCAGGTGACCGCGATCGATAGGCGCCGAGGGGGAACCGCACGTCAGAGGGTGCTGCGAGAACGGGCGGCGGAGCAGGCGGCAGGAAATCCGCCGTCGGGAACGAGAGGACAGCCGCCGGCAGGGGGGAGAGGACGCGGCGTACGGGGTGCGAGCGGGCGGGCAGGCCGGGGGGGCCTGGCTGCAGCCGTGGCAAGAGAGAAGGCCAGATCTGGTCCTTGGCGGGAAAGACATGGGAGGCCTGAGCGAGGACAGAGTGGAGCTCCAATGAATAACGACGAGGAACAAGGGGATGAGGATTATATGGAAGAAGAACAAGGGGACTCAGAGGATGTGTCAGTGGAGGATGAGCAGGGCATCCCGGCGGGAGGGACAAATCGTGGGGCAAGGAGTGGAGGAAACCAAGCTGATGCCAACGAGGGTGAGTCACGCGGCACCCAACCCAACGAGACTGCCAGCAAGGCAAGATCACCAGCAGATATTGCTGATGACCCGGAGATCTGGCGCCAGGTGGAAGGGTGGGAGCTGGGCCCGATGTGTTGCAGTGCTCAACCCTTCCTGTTCCGGAAGCTCCCCCCCAAAATCCTGGGAGTTTACGCCTACTGCATGACGATCCCCCTGCTGCGACTCGCGAAGGTTCCAGGCTGCGCGGGAGCATGGCGAATCCTGCAATTCCTACCCAGGTTGACCCTCCGAGCCGAAGTTGAGAACGTTCCGAGAAACCGGTGGGCCGGGGTGGAAAAGAGACTCCAACAATTTCAAGAAGAAGAGTGGGAAGTGCTCTTCTCGGAAGCATGCATCATCCCCCCGAACCCTCAACCCAGCAGACACCAAGACGACCCTGAAGGCATGTGCGCACGGGCGGAAGGCCTAGTACAGAAGGCAAACCTGACGAAAGCCTTAGCGGCGTTACAGTCAACCCCCCTCGCAGAGCAAACTTCGGCGACGCTCGCTGCGCTTCGTGCTAAACATCCGCACGCGGGGGAGGCAACTCCAGGGTGGGTTACCGGGTACAGCACGTCATCACTCTCAATCACGGCAGAGGAGTTTCGTGAAGTTTTAGCTAAGTGCCCGAATGGCATTGGAGCGGGACCGTCAGGCACGTGTTTTGAACACCTCCGTGACCCCGCGCTGCTCAATGGGGAAGTCTTCGTCCTACTGCACCAAGTAATCAACACAGTGCTGAGCTCCCACCTCAGTGACACCCTAAGAGATCTACTCTTACAGGCAAGGCTAATAGCCCTGGAGAAGCCAGGAGGAGTCAGACCGATCGCCATCGGCGAAGCGATAATTAGGCTAACGGCAAAAGCCGCGCTGCGGAAACTCTCACCAGAAATTCGGAAGTTTTTTCTCCCGGTTCATTTCGGCGTGGCGGTGCCCGGAGGAGCAGAGACAGTAATCCACGCTACCCGAGCACTACTGAAGCAAAAACCGAGCCGCATCGCCATCCAACTGGACGTCGAAAACGCATTTAACTCCGTTGAACGAGGAAGCTTCTTCACAGCGCTCAAATGGACAGCTCTCGAACCGCTACTACCCCTGGTCCGCACGCTCTACGGCGAACCGGCGCGTCTCCTGCTGGACCCGGGCTTCGACGAACGCTACATCGAAAGCACTCGGGGCGTGCGTCAAGGCGACCCACTAGGGCCAATGCTCTTCGCGGCGGCAATACAACCGACCATGTTGAGTGCAGCGGCGAGGTGTCCCAACACGATGGTGCTGGCGTACGCAGACGACATCACGATAATCGGCGAGCCGGCGGAGGCGATTAAAGGAGTGCAGATCATCACTGAGGAACTCCGCAAGTGCGGACTACGATGCAACTTGGAGAAGTCTTCAGCGTGGTGCCCAGCAGGATGCGCGGATGTACTCCCTGAGGGGCTGGTGGCGGCGGTCGATGGAATCCGGGTGCTGGGGAGCCCGATCGGAACTAGAGAGTATGGGAGAAGGTCCCTCCGCGCAACCCTGCGCACGATGGCGTCGCCATTAACCCTCATCGGCAAACTGCACCCACAGCACGCACTCCTCCTCCTCTCGAGGTGTGTGTCGAGACGCATCTCCTACCTCCTCCGAACCACCCCGGCTGACACACTCCCTCTGGTGGAATGGAGGGACTGGAGCGAGGAACTTCTGTGGACAGCACTCAAAGCGGCAAAGATACACGCACCTGTCGATGAGCTGGATCAAAGCCTAGTCTGGCGCCAGGCCACGCTACCGGTCTGCCTGGGGGGGCTGGGGCTGATAGACCCGCTCTCGGAGGCACCAGCCGCGTACCTGGCATCCTCACACGCCGCCAACACCCTACTTAGACACATGACGCTGACGCCGGACAACCCGCTACAGCTTGTGGCGGACCTAGTGTCACCAATGGGAGGGGTCCAGGGGGCAGCGGAGGGGGAGGTAACGCTACTGGACTTGCGCAACCGGCTACCTGACCAGGCGAGGGAGATCCTGAAAGCACAACACCAGAAGGGCGAGGTGACGGGTCACCTACAGCTTATCCTCTCCAAACACATCAACTTGGACCGGGCGGCCGAGCTTGTGGGGGACACGCGGGCAGACAAGCCCGGAGCCGACAACGGGCACGTGATTCGGCTAATCAGCTTGCAAGGGGTGGGGGCGGGAGACTGGCTGCATGCAATCCCCACAAGGGGGGACCTCACCTTCTCCCCCGGACAGTTTGCAGTGGCGCTCGGCTTTCGGCTGGGCCTCCCAGTAGCAGTCACGGACAAATGCCCGTGCAAGGGGAAGCGGTCGGACATTAGGGACAGAAGCCTGCCCAACCACCTACTGCGGTGTGCCGATGGAGGGGACAGGACTAACACTCATAACGCTCTGGCGTACGCGGTGCTCCGTATGGCTCAGGAAGCGGACTACACCACCTTGTACGAGTCAGCAGCCTTCTCGCCCATAACCAACCAAAAGCGAGCAGACGTGGTGATCCGCGACAAGGAGTCCAACGAGACCTACGTGACTGACGTGACGGTCACTGACCCCGTCCTGCAGCGGCGCGATAAGAGGGCGGTAAAGGCACCAGGATGGGCGGCAGAGGATGCGGCACGAGTGAAACGGGGCCTGTACGAGGGACGCCCAGGGTTTGTTGGGGTGTTTGGCCTGGCGGTGGAGACTTACGGGGCCCTGGCTAGGGACACCCAACGGTTCTTCCGCCTCCTGGGTACCCAGGCGGCCAAGAGGAAGCACAGACAGGGGAGGCTAACCGCGGTAGCCTCCAGACTCACGGCGCATTACCGGCAGCGTTGGTCGGTGATGCTCCAGCGCTGCCAGGCAAATGCCCTGATGGCTAAGTCCAACAGGGCACTTGAGGCAGCGCACCCCCAAGCAGCCGCGGACCCGTGGGGACCAAGCCTCGGGGACATTTGGCAGGTCCTCGAGGATGACCTGGCCCAGCTAATCGACTTGGGGGAGTAGAGGGCCAGGTAGCCCCATATGGGACCGCCCAACCGAGGAGGGCAGGCACGGCCGGACAGGAAAGGAGAGAGGTGACGTGCAGGGGGACAATCAGGCCAGCAATGAGGTAGCAATAGGGACAGGTGTAGCCTCTAGGCAATTCAGCATGGGGCGAGCCGGCCCGGCATTGGCTCTTCATGTGACTATGCGGTTTCTTGACAGGGCATTTCTAGGCCAATTGCCTGCTAGGATGCCATTGCTTGCTTGTACCCTATGCATACATCAATGCAGGACTGCTTGAGAGAGAGAGAGAGAGAGAGAGAGAGAGAGAGAGAGAGAGAGAGAGAGAGAGAGAGAAAGAGAGAGAGAGAGAGAGGGAGACGGAAGGGGAATAGGCGGAGGGCCAGAGAATGGGTATCAGGCGGCGGCTCGTGTGGCTTTAAACAACGTTGAAGAAACTAATGAAGAAGAAGATGAGCGGGATGACCCATCTTATAGGGAAGAAGCCCTCCCCGAGAGTGAGGAGGAGGAGACGGAAGGGGAAGGCATGGCGAGAGAAGGACCAAGGAGAAGGGAAGAGGTGGTGCAGCAGGCGGAATTGCAAGTACCACAGACGGCTCGAGCACCGTCCGATGTCGATCGGACGACTCCAACTCCAACATTGAGCCCAACAGCAAGGCCGAGCCGCGCTGGACGAAATCGAAACACAGCTGCGGGTAGTGCGACACGCCCTTCACCACCAAATCCCCGCTACTTTTCACCAGATGAACTAGCGAAGCGGACAGACCTGTTCGCTGCCATCGCGACTTGGGACACCGCAACTCTTTGCGACAGTCGTCAGCCACCACTATCGCGCCGTTTACCGCCCAATCTGTGCCAACTGTTTTCGCTAGCATTCCTGACACCGTTACTGCACTTATCGCGAAACCCCGAGTCTGAAACGGCCTGGCGCCTGCTACTGTTTCTCCCGCGCCTAACACTTTGCCAGACCTCGCCGCAGCGACCGAACTGGCCACGTGTGAAAGCCCGGCTCCGGGCTTTCCAGCGTGGCGAATGAGAGCAGCTGTACAAGGACGCGTTGGACGCAGTCAACTCACCACCACCGCCAAAACACCAGCCTGACACGACACGGGTCATCAGTCGTGCGGAGGGCCTCGCGAAACGTGGCAGTCTGCGTCGGGCCGTGCTGGCCCTGGAGTCAACGCCAGTTTGCACTCCCAGCCCGGAAATTTTGGAGGAGCTGCGACAGAAGCACCCTCGTGCTGAACACGAGGCGCTGACATGGCCCGAGCCACAGGGGTCAAAGCTGTCAATCCCCTACCCCGACTTCGCCAAAATTCTAGGCAGATGCGAAAATGGGGTGGGAGCCGGACCGTCAGGCATGACATTCGAGCACATACGCGACGCGGCAATTACAAATGCAATGGTCAGCACCCATCTGCACGCCTTGGTTAACACCATGCTGGGTGGAGAATTACCAGGCTCGGTCGCGAACCTACTGAC